TAATCCGCAGTTCAATAGGAAGCTCAGGCTCAACGCAATTTGCTACTTCGAGCCCAAGCGGAAGCGAAGATCAAGCCTAAGCCCGCGGCCAAGCCTAAGCCCACCACGAAGCTCATGTTTAGCTTAAGTCGAAGTCGATAAGTCTAAGCATAAGTCTAAGCCTAAACCTAAGCCTAACAATAAGCCCTGAAACCTAAGCCAAGCCAATAGCTACTAAAACCCCCCAAAAATATTGACCCAAAGATCCCTGGACACTACCGGGACCAAAGATGCTTTTCCCCGGCTTCATCATCTGACTCCCCCGCCCCCCACTCAGTTTTACAGAATTTCGCGACGAAAACAACTGCACTCCCCCCGTTCAGAATCGACTCAGTGGGTCCAGTCCAGTAGCTGTTCACGTGGGTCCCTTCGCCCAGTCTTGGCCCACCCTCCTAATGTTTACTCTCCATCCCTAACCCTCTCCCACCTTGCCCCTCTCTCGCCGGGAGATCCCCCACGGGCTGGCGCCAGTCGCGTCGTCGTCGTCGCGAAGCGCCGAAATCTGGCGCCAGCCACGATCAGGAAGCACACATTGCAGCTGTAGACGAGGTGAAAGAGGGAGGAGGAGAAGAAGAAGAAGAAGAAGAAGTGAGAATATCAGCCCATCCCCCCACCTATACGATCCCCTAACCCATCGTCGCCTCCCCAAAAATGATTCCGACAAACAACCATCGACACCACTTGGGCGAGGGGTTTTTGGAGCCGTTTTACATCAACAGAATCAAACAATTTTTTCAATTTTACGATCAAAATTTACTGCTTTGGCGTCTAGTAAAATAGCATTGGCGCTAGGCGTGAAAATATTGGGTTGTTTCACCCAGCCTCGCCCAGAGCGCAAGTCTACGCCAAGCCTGTGGATTAGCTTGAGCGAAGCCTGAGTGTAAGCCCTCGTCTAAGACAAGGCCAAAGCCTGCGTATAAACTTAACGCCAAGTTATGCCCAATGTCTACGCCTAAGTCTAACTTTGAGCCAAGCCTGCAACCCTACCGGGGAACTTTCCTTGGGTCCCGAAATGCTTTCCTGACAAATTTCCGGTCCCCTAAAATGTATTACGGTACTTTCCCACATTTTTGCAAAGCATTTTCAACAACCCTGAGAACACGGCAAGGTTAATCCTCGAAATCGCTCCCTTCAGACCTTCCCAAAATCCGGATTACACCTAATTCCTCTCGTCGCGCCGTCACACGGTTTTCTTGTTTTTGGTCATACGGCTCTTGACAATTCACGGCCAGCCTTGGCTTAGCTTAGGCTTAGGCTTTGGCTTAGATACCCTTTAGACGTATGCCCTTTTAACCGTGGCCTTGATCAGTGACTCGCCCCAAAAATGACACCATCGATAGTCCAGCTGCGTACTCGATTCCAAATTCGTCAGGTGTACCTGCCATCTGCCCGTTTTTGCCCTTGACTTTCCGCGCCAATCCCATCAACAGCCTCGCTTCCAAGTCTTTTCCAAACAAACAGAATGCCATTTCCGTTTCCAAACACACTGTTTTTATTGTCCAAGCCCTGAGGCGGGAAATTGGGCTATATTCGGGATGCGAGAATGGGCTATCCTCAATTCTCGAGACAATGCCATCCCATTCCTGACCATCCCCCCCCCTCCAAAAGATGCGAAATTTCGGGCTGATCAAGACAGACGGATGGACAAACAAATTGACACAAACAGACATACCGACAGACAGTGCGAACAGAGCTTTTCCCGGCTGAGAGAGGGGAGAGAGAGAGGGAGAGAGAGAGATAGGGAGAAACACGGATCCCCGCCCACTGCCCCATTGTCTTCCCCCCTACTTTTTCTCCTCTCACTCTCTGATGGCTATCATCGGCTTTCCTCCCCTCCAGGACCCCCCGGGGGCTCTCATTTGGATTCAAATTCCGTTTGCAGCCTGGCTTGTCGTTTGGAACCTGACGGAAAGTTGTTTTTTTTAACCCTAGAACGCAGAAGGTTACGGTAGAGTACGAAAAGGTGGCGCTTTGCTAGACTTTTCGCCTTATTCAAGGAGCTTTAAAGCTTATTGGGTGTTTTATTCAATACTCTTCTTTCCTAGTCACCTAATTTCTCGAAATTACCCTAGAATACTGATCTAAATTATTTTATCGACAACAAGCCAAAAGAGGAGGGTTTCTAATTAGGCCACCGAATTATAGGACATAGAAGTATACTCAGAATTTAACGTTAAAAAGGTCGTGATTATACCTTCATGGTTTCTTTAATAGCTCAGAATATAACTTGATTTTCTATGGTATTCATTCGTTCAGCATTCTAGCTTGGTTCCCAGGGTGTAAAATCGAAAGCTCGGCATCGAAGGCTGTAAGCTGTTGGCGTGAGCGTCATGGTTGAAATAGGGTATCACTCTGTCTCTCTCTCTCAACGTTCTCACTCGCTCTTCCCTAACTGTAACCATGTGTATCAGATCACCATAACCAGGTTTTGTATAAAATGTTTTTCCGCGTATTTTATTTTTAAAGATATTTTTAAAGGAGAACCCTTCAAAAGTTCCCTTAATTTCCAAAAACGACGGATCTTCCGCATCCTACATCCCCTAAACTCAAGTTTACAGACCTTTCCTTGCAAGCGAGAAACCATTCATCAATTGCCCTCTTTCCCTTCTCTCTCTCTCTCTCTCTCTCTCTCTCTCTCTCTCTCTTCCTCTCTCCCTTTTTTACTGTCAATTTGTATGTGTGGAGGGCGCGGCGCCCACAAAAAAGCGGGGGTCGTGGCGTCGAATTTCGGAAGTTCGCAGAGACATCCCCCCGATGGCCGTCGCGTCGAAACCCGAGAATATTTGCGAAGAATGTCTGACAACATTCAGCGCCCACCTAGCAGAAGGCGCAGGCTGCCATCCTGGTCATTGCGCTCGAAATTTTTGGACCCGGTGGATCCGCGGAAATTTGGCATTAAAGGGGCGCGGAAGCAAGCGAGGCTGTGGGCTTGGGTTGGCTTGGCGTGGGCTTTGCTTAGGCTTATACTAGCTAAGCGAGTGAGGCTTAGGCTTAGGTTGGGCTTAGGATAGGCTTAGGTTTAGGCTTGGGATAGGCTTGGGTTTAGGCTTAGGATAGGCCGAGGTTGTGGCTTAGGTTGGGCTTCGTCTTTGGATCGCCGGTTCGACCAAGCTTCGGTTTAGACTTCGGCTTAGCTTGGGCTTAGGCTTTGATTAGGCTTAGCTTCAGACGCGCAGCTTCGTTCAACCTCTACCATTTAGGTGTTTCTCCAATTGCAATAATTTACAAGCCTGCGGGACCACTTTCCCATGACCCGAGTCGCTAAGATTGTAAAGGGATGGCGGTGTGTGTATCTATTGGAAGAGAGACAGAGAGAGAGAGACAGAGAGAGAGACAGAGAGAAAGAAAGGGGTGGAGACTGTTTACCTGAAGGTTTGCTAGATGTGTTCAGAATGGATGGTGGGGGCTTCTCCTCCTCCTTCCGAGGGCCATTCTACTGGCCCTCCCCCTTTTCTTCTTCATCTTCTCTAACGAATTCTATTTGTCCCCTCCAAATAACCCCTCCACACACACCAGTCACACCACACGCCTCACTGGCCAAGGGGGGGGGACCCGGCCGGGTTTCTCGGAAATTCTGTGGTCAGCTTTTGGTCGGACACTTCTACGGGTCAAAGGATGGATGGGAGGGTATTCTTTGGCCTTGTTGGGACAATATACACCTATGTACACCGCGTATTTAGTACCGTTAATTGCAAGAGCGAAAATTCCTTCACATACCCGATTATGCCAGTCGGCGACGGTAGACGTTTTTGGCGGTTCTTAGGCCAAACTGCTTTCATGAATGGATTTATCTTTTTGCTTTCCGAGCTGTTTTAGCGAGTTTTGAGTGGACCTGGGATTTTTTCTGTCGGGATTTTCGCCTGTCGGGATTTTATTTTGTCGGGATTTGGGCCTGTCGAGTTTTTGCGTGTCGGTGGATTTTGAATGTGTATTTTTATTTCTTAAGTTTTCCTGTGTCGGTATTTGGCCCATCGGGGTTTTGATTGTCGATATTTCGGCGGGTTGTATTTGCCCCTGTCGGGATTTTGAGCGTCGGCTCTGGGAGGGCCATGATTTTGAATGCGATTTTCGCCTTGACATTCTGGCGTAACGCGATTTCGAATGTCGGTATTTTGATGCTATGAGCCTCCACAATGCCGAGATTTTTGCATTTTCGCTCGACAATCCTAACAAAATCTTGTCAATCTCCATCTTCCTCCCTCTCTCATCCCTGATTCACCTCCTCCACCGACGTCAGAATTCCCATTTTACCATTTTCGGGTCAGAAAATCGCCAAACAAGCTATTCTCGATCAAGCGCCCTCCTTGCGTCACATCTTTCCCCTCACTTTTCTCCCTTTCTCCCCTCTCCTAAATTTGCATTTCAATCGTGGCCTTGCCCGGGTAGAAAAGGAGGACCGGGGCCTCCGCGCGGATTGTCGCGGAACTTTTCTCTGCTGGCCAACGGCTGCTGTTAAATTATTTAAAGAAAGCTGGACGCATTTTTAACGCTTTTCCGACAAGAACAGGCACATCAACAGTTGAAACCATTTTTCAATGCTAAATTTTCGCCAATTTTCTTACGGTACTTTCCCAGGGTTTATCGCCGTCAATTTCCGATCGCTGCCGCTTTTTTTGATTTATGGCCCGAATAAAACGGCGGCTGTTGAATTCCAAATTTGACGGCGGGGGCGTTTTTGCGATTTTTTGGAGGTTTTGGTATGGATTTTTCGATCTTAATATTTTGAATATTTATGCCAATTTTTTGTTTTTTACATTTTTAAAAAAACTGTTGCTTTATTCCATTTCGATTCCATGAGCTCAATTTGCATAAAATATTTCGATCAATTTTTCAGCCCATTTTTTGCATCCCTGCCAAAATTCAGGTGGTACTGATTTTTGCCGTATTTCGCCTGTTCCTCCCTCTCTAATATGTAAACCAATTCGATGATACTATCCCTTTTATGCAAATTTTTCAGAGGAATGCGGCGGGCGGCCGTGTGGACGACGACAGTATGGGCATTAATGGCAGCGGTGGCCGAGGGGTACCAATCATCGTACAACTACGTGCCCCAGGGCTCTTCGCCGACCCTGTACACCCCCGGGTTCGAGCCGATCATGCATCTCGATCAGGTATGTTGGAAGATAAGAAGAGATAAGAGCAAATTTAGCAAGGGAATTTTTTTTATGAGTCTAGAAATACCTAGTAAATTTTAATAGTGTTTTTAATAAGTTTTTAGTCTTATCTAACCATCTTTAAACTGGAAAAACTATCTAAAGCCTTAAAAAATTGTTTATTGAAACAAAAGTGAAGATTTTCGCCAAAATCTTCCTTTTTGGTCGAAAAAAAACCGATATTTCGATTTTGTAGATAAAAATTTGTAAAGCTTTCACGTTTAGGAACAGTAGTAAAGCAAATTCCAGCTGCTTATCCTAAAGAGTCCCCGCTAGCCAGCCCACCGCTCTCGGTGAACTTGAAAGGCCGTCAAGCGCCGTCAAGCAAGTACACATTTTTCTCTTTACAGAACACATTCGCCGACACGGTCTTCGCCCAGGACAAGTCGTTCGTCGTCGAGTTCTACGCTGATTGGTCGGTTTTTCCCCTTTTGCCTATACCCTAGTTGCATCATCGATTTTACACCGCCACAAAGAATTGAAAAAATGCCGGAAAATTTTGGTGCTATTTTCTAGAGCCTTCCCACTAGCCCGACTTAACTTTTGGGTTTCGGGGCAACGTTTCGGGTGCCTAGAAAAATTGTTTGCTCTTGGTATCACTAGCAAATTGTAGAGTATCGCCATTTGTACATAGAAACCGGTAGATCGAGGGGGATTTGGCCCGAAAAAACGTTGAGACAAAGGGCCCACTCTTACAAGACCCTTTAACCCCCCTCATCAGTTCTCGAGGACCCATCCCTCAGTCTCGATGAGGGCCGGTTCACGCACAGCTGATCTTGGGCGAGAGAGAGGGCGGGAGAGAGAGGAGAGAGGGAGAGAGAGAGAGAGAGAGAGAATAAGATAGAGAGACTGCTACGATTCTACGATGATCCCTATCCTAAATGGCAATTGCACTATCCAAATGCTGTTATTTTACAAGCCAAAGGCTTCCGAAAAAGATTGACATAAAGAGAGAAAAGGAGAGAGGGAGAGAGAGATAGAGAGAGTGAGAGAGTGCGAGCCAAAGAAAGCCAAAAAATCCCGGCGAGCAATCGAGTGTGCAAAAGATTGAGAGATCGTCAGCCGGTTCAAACACAGCTGATCGGCTTTGGGATATCGCTAGAGAGAGGGAGAGAGAGATGGCCAGCAGAGAGAGCGACAGTACCATCCGGGTCCCACACCGGCGTTAGACAGCGACATTCGACAAACAGACAGTTTGACCCCCCCCACCAGCGTGTCAAATAGATAAAACGGCTTGTTTACGGGGCCGTAGCTAGAAAAAGCTGAAAATAGAAACGTTAGAAAATTGTGATGCGATGGTGGACATGCCGTAGAAATATTGAATTACGGTATTCTTATCAAAATAATTATTTCCAGGTGCGGGCATTGTCGAGCCTTCGTTCCCTATTTCCGCGAATTCGCCAACCAAGTGTTTGGATGGAACAAGGTATCGAAAATACGAATTTTATAGCCGAATATGCGTAAAAATGTGTAAAGCTAAAAATTCTTTTTTTAGGTGGTTACGGTGGCGGTGATGAACTGCGCGGACAGCTACAACGTCGACGTCTGCAAGGCGAATGGCATCAGCGAGTTCCCCACGCTAAAGGTACAAAAAATAGGATTTTGCAACAATTCCTTTACAGTACTTTGCGCGAACGGCCCGCCGACCGAGCGATGCCGTCCATATGGACCCACAGCATTCCGCCGACGGCATCAGGGACGCGTTGTTGAGGTTGGAACTTAAATTCCTTAACATTCACTTCGATGGTTTAGGTCCATCTCCAACGAGTACGCCTTCAACCGGTACCCCGATTGGCCAATGTTCACCCCGCTTCAAGTTGACGGGTTAGTTTTGAAGGGAGCGCGATAGGGTTAATTCAAGCATTTCCATTCCATCTCTCCTCTCTCTCTCTCTCTCTCTCTCTCTCTCTCCGTTTCTCTCCCAGTCTCTCTCTCGCTATTACGTGAACCTTATCATAAGTTTACTTTACAGACGCACAACATACGGCCAACTCTGGCAAGGCATCCCCGAATCTGCCGACTACATGGCCATCGTCTTCGAAATCAGCGATGGTGTCGGGGCAAGGGTATGTTTTTAAAAAGCTTTTCCAAATTTTTCCAAAATTCAAGTCCAAGGTACGTTAAACTCCCTCATCAAGCACAAATTAGCAAACAAGGAGGGGTGTTCTGGGGCCCGGGGGTCCCGTGGTCCGTTTTCGTTTTGTCGATGGGTGCATCACGTAGTGTTTACAAGCCTCTTTTTATTCCTCTCTCTCGCTCTCTCCCTCTCTCGCTCGCTCTCTCTCTCTATCTGTCTCTCATCTGTTCAAAGATGGCCAAACAGCACAGAACTTCGATCGTCGCCGAGCGGATCAAAGCCCCTGCGCGCGCGACTCGAGTCGGACACACTCTCGAAAAAAGTCTATCTGTTTGCCCCCTGGTTTGTATGTACCAGAACGGCAATCCACATCGAGAAGCTTGATTCGGGGGCTTTTCGGGTTTGGAAAATCGGCAAAGGTTGCTTAACGGGGGGTCGGGGAACAAATTGCAGGAGTGGAAACAATTTTTGTATCTATAAAGAATATCCTGCTATTTTGAAAATGCCATCGGATAGAGCGCCGAAAATTACACTCGGAGATTGAATTTCAGTCCACAAAACCTCATTTTTAATTGCCTAAACTTTCTAGCTTAATAAAGTACTAATTTTAAATTGTTGTATTTCGGGCCGAAATTAATTCTCCTAGTATAATTTTCGACGCTTTATCCGATGGCTTGCTTGACTTGGCACGACAGGGTCTATAGGGAAAAATGGTTCCCATCCCCGTTATTTCTCCCCCCCCGTTAAGCAACCTTTACCGGAAAATCTTGGTGCTCCACTTTGACCGCGGTATGAGGGGCCAATGTGTGTAAAATTGTGAAGCGCTGAAACTTCACCAAGAATTCTTTCAGTTCCAACTCGACATGTGGGAGAAGCGAGGGATCGTCGGCACCCGCCGCGCCCTCTCCAACTCGCCGTTGGTGCAGATGCTGCGAATTCGGGAGTTCCCCTCGGTCGCCCTCTTCCGCCGTGACCACCAGCAGGCCATCTACATGAGCCGGTAGATCACAAATCAAATTTTAGAAGCAAAAATCCATTTTCCAGCGTGCACAACGCGTCCTTCGGCGAGATCGAGGCGGCCATCAACGCCGACCGGGCCAGCCACCACGTGATGCCCGTGCAGAATATTCAAACGTCCACCTTCCGCCCCATCACCACCACCCTGGCACCCGTCGTCGATTGCGCCAGATTCCCAGACCGGTACGTAGTTTTCGGTAAGACTCCAGATACCCCCCTCCCAGCCGGCCCCCAACTTTTGTATCTCGGCTCCCTGTTCATCTACAGGTGTGTAAAGTATACCAAAATGTTCGTCTTGCTCTGGCGATTTTGGTATACTTTACACACCTGTAGATGAACAGGGAGTCGAGATACGGTAGGCGGGGGCCGGCTGGGGGTATCTGGAGTTCAGCCTAGTTTTCTGACGGAAATTCTAACCCCCAGAATTCAGGTGCGCCGACATGTTCTACGTCTCCGAGACGGACATGCTCAAATCGATGCACCAGGCCCTCTACGACTCGGTGAGTACACGCCACCAAAAATCTGGAAATTCGGTGTTTAGGTGCGTGACGTGCACGGCGGCATGGTGCAGGGGGACAACTTCACCAATCTCTACAACTTTGTCGATCTTCTCGCCAATGTGAGTAATCTTATCGGCAATAATTCACGTGGCTATCGTGAAAAACGCAAATTTGTGATAGAGATAGCTATTTTTGAGTAGAAAAGCTATTCAGAAAAAAATTTTCGACTTAAAAAGAATCAATTTTTGGTCGAAAATCGGCCATTTTCGGCTTTAAAAAAATCTATATTTGTTGTATAAAGGTTTAATATAGAGGTGAACATACAAAAACGCCTGAATTTTTAGCACTTGGAATAGCTATGTCGAAACCTTAAAAATCTTAAAAAAAATCTATTTTCTTAGTAGAAGATCGATATTTGTTGTATGGTTTCATATTAATTCAGGCGAAAATACCAATGTTTCACCATTCGAATACTAATTAGATTTATTTAGAAAACTTAGAATTTAATTTATTGTATTTTTTAAATACAAATTAAGCTAAATAGACTAAAAACCACCCGATTTTTAGCACTTCCCGGTGCTCTCGTTCTCGAATGAGCTGCGACGGACGGTGAGGAAGAAGAGGACCTCGTCGACGGTATGCAAAATTCAACCAAAATCTTATTCCCCCTTTTTGTGCAGATTCTGAAGAACTCGGAGCGTGCCCGCCTCGTCTTCACGCATATGAGGGAATGGCTCGAGGCACGGAAGGGCAACGGCCATTTCCCCTCTTCCGAATGGATTCGCCAATTTGAGATGATTGAGGTGAGCACAAACAAATGTCGGCTGAACTCCAGCCTCCGCCTAGCGTATCTCGGCTCCCTGTTCATCTACAGGTGTGTAAAGTAAACCAAAATACTCGCCAGAGCAAGACGAACCTTTTCGTATACTTTACACACCTGTAGATGAACAGGGAGCCGAAATACAAAAGTTGTGGGCCGGCTGGGGGGGGGGTATCTGGATTCTTACCCAAATCGCATTCAAGATACACATACAAAAATCGTACCCGCAAAACTACTAACCCCGTTTTCCAGCGCGTGTACGCCCGGCCATTCCCTACGAATTCATCGTGGCAACACTGTGAGGGATCCTCGGGACGATACAGGGGCTACACGTGTGGCCTATGGACGACCTTCCACGCCATCACCGTCCACACATACATTGACACCATCAAGGTGGGAGCACCGAGCTTTTTTTTTTAACCCCAAAAATTTTTAACAAATTATAATGTGTTTTTTTATTTTTTTTTTTGTTAATAATTTATTTTTTTTCAAAAAAAAAAATAAAATAAAATAATAAAAAAAATATTTTTGGTTCCGGGCCCAGTTCTTTTTTTAATTTTATTTTTTTTTTTATTTTTTTTTTTATTTGTTTGGTGGGGGGAAAAAAGACCAAAAAAAAAGTTCTTTTTTTTTTTGGGGGAAAAAGAGGGAAAAGGGGAAAAAGCGTCCCTCCGGAAAACCCCCCCGACAGCGGAGAGAGGGGGCCCCCCCGGCCTTCCCTCTTTTTTTTTTTAACAAACGCAGCCAATGTTCGTTCTTAACCCACCAAGGTTCAGGACGACCGAGTGGACCGTCTAAAGCCGCTGCGTGCCATCCAAGGCTGGGTATCGTCCTTCTTTGGGTGTCGTGACTGCCGCGATCACTTTATGGACATGACGCAGAACAAGTTCCCGATGACTGCACGCAGGGTTGGTTATTACGAAAATATTCACCCAAATTGCGAGATCAACTGGAAAATGGCCTAAAATTTTTTTGTAAAATCATAGGAAAGGGTCCATAGGATAGAGTATCTTTTGCTCAATTGAATGGCATAAAATTAAAAAATAAAAACCAACTAAAAAAATAAAAACCGCTTCCTAATAAAATCTTAACTGGAGCAAAAAGCTAAACCGCATTTTTAGCACTTTTGACGCCATCAGAAAATTTTATTACGGAATCTAACCCGTAGAACGAAGCCCTCTTTAGGTGCGCCACCCGCACGACATGATGACGTATCTGTGGCGGGCGCACAACATTGTCAACCAACGGCTGAAGGGCGACGCATCCGAAGACCCCCAGTTCGTCAAGGTGCAATTCCCGCCGCCGTTCCTGTGCCCGACGTGCCACTCCGGTGGACAGTTCAGCAGACGACAGGTGGGTAGCGCCGAAAAACCTAAACAAAACTCGGAAAATTTCTCAAAAAAAGATTCACAAGTCTATTTTTAGGTGCGCAACTTCCTGCTCCGCTACTACGGCAGCATCAAGCCGCACAACCGGCTGGCCAACCGTCGCCTTGCCCTGTAGAGTGGCCACCGACGAACGAAATACACCTAACAACACCCCCGTAGTTAGATGATATCCCGTGATTAGGCGTCGCTAGACAGGACCTGCCCCTAATGACCCAACTATCATAGAGTACCTTACTGAATACGGTGTCCCAGTGCAACTGCTATTAAAGGGCCGGGCAAGGCATGGCTATGGTTTTCTCGAGGAGTTTGCTGCGCTGGCTAAAGGATAGGGGCGGAAATGCAACCTGGGGGGATGTCTCTGGCCCCCGGCTCTCTCCCTGTTGGTATTGCCAATTTGTTGATGGGGATCGACACATGCCGTCGGCAGCCCTTTAAGCGGAAACGGCAGAACCCAGGGAATCCACAGCAAAAATGCCATATCCACGCCTTGCCCGTCCCTTTAATTTTTTCCTAATCCACACAATCGGAGAGTATTTCCCCCTTTCCCCTCCCTCGGGCTATTTATCCCACCCCCACCACAGTGTACATATCACCCTGTGTGCGTTCGGTTTTGTACAAACCATTTCCACTCCCTTGGCGAATTTTCTGGTCGTTTCCTATTCTACACCTCCCCACTTCTATCGTATACTCCCCCTCCCACATTTTATCCCCCAAATCGCATTTTGGGGGACCACGGGTATCCCTCCCCCCAGCGGCCCATCCTCCAGCTGGGTTTTCAACGCGTTTACCTGCAAAAAAAATCGTAAACTTTTGGTGTACGGTAACCGGGGGCACCATTTAGCAAACCCTCTATCCCCCTCATCCACCATATTCAGGGACCAATGTATTTCTTTTTTTCTCGACTATCCAGTTGTGTGCTCCTCCCCCCAAATAGTGCCATCTCCCCCTCCCCTCCTCAAAACTCCACAAACTATTCGTCGACTTTCAATAGCCGTTCCCCTCGATGATCTCGTGTTGCCCTGTCTTGTTCCAGTGCCCCTCCATCCTATAGCCTGCCCCCGTCTACCGTACACCCCCCGGGCCCTGCGTGTACAGTAACTCCTTCTTCTTCTCCAGCGTGTCCATCGTGTCCCCCAACCCCCCACCTGTGCATTCACACGTGTGTGTATATTTTTTCCAATTTCTCGTTATTCGAGCGTTTTTATGCTTGGTGAGTCAATAAAAATAAGATACAAGTGAATTACATTGCATTATTACACAAAAGGTAAAATATACCAGCTACACGATCACAACTTGTGCTTAACAACTACAGTGTGGATGCACTCATTCACAGCTTGCACAGCCCCGTGTCCGGCGCGCTCTCCATGATCAGCTTTTGGACCTGAGGGGTTGTGTAAGGAAAGTTTTTGGCAAAAGTACCTCGCGGAATTTCGGGTGGTCAGGCCCTCCGAGCAGCCCGAGGATCACGCACTCGCTGGTCGTCAGCACGGCGCCCGCCTTCTCCATCTGCTTGAACGCGTATTTCCTAGAAAGAATAAACACCTATTGCTGGTGGTACAGAGAAGTGCATGATTTCTGCGATTCAAACATCAATCGAACGCTCTCGACAAGCCAAGTTATCGTTGCTCCGTTTTTCAAAATGCTGCGAATTTCTGGCAGTTTACAACATAGACAAAACGTGTGTTTTCAAAAAAATGGCATCGAGGGTGTTTTCGCAAATTCAAAAACCTTTCAAAAAATGATAAAAATCCCGCGAATCTCTGCAAAAGCCTTTCATCGCAACCGCATTGGAAATTTAGCTCGCGCAAAAGCGTAGTCGACCTCATAAATATAAGGATTTTAAAATTAGGAGAGATCATATCTCCTAGGCCTGCCGAGCGCTTTCGATTGATATCGAAATCGTAGAAATCGGACACTTCTAAAAGAACGCTTTTCGTGATGCCCTGCAGAAATCGCTTTAAAAAAGCAGGAAACAATCATACCGATTCTCCTGGGTCCTGCTGCTTGTCGCATCGACAACGACGTGAACGTTCATGTTGCGCTCAAGGAGATCGAGGGTCGTTTGCAAGACGCAAACCTAAAGGTTAAAGTATATTATTTCAAAAGCCAACATACATGGGCCTCAATTCCAAACAGAATCACGTTCTCCTTGCCCTCCAGCTGGGGCAGCGCCGGCTCGATGCACATGGAAAACTGAAGAATGTTGAATTAGAAACTGAAAAAGCGCCAACCTTCGACTTTTCGATAATCGGAACATCGCCGCCAGCCTGCAGCCCGAGCTCGGGCACCAAATGGCCCAATCCTTTGGGGTATTGCTCGGTGGCGAATGTCTAAAGAACAATTCAGCAAAATTCAACAAACGCTACGCGCAAATTGAGGATGCGGGCCGTGTCGATAAGCCGTTTGCCAGTGACGAGAATCTCGGGGAAGTACTTGATCTGCTGGCTGAACAAAGATATCACAAATGATATTGAAAAATACCGGAATTTCTCCTGCAAATCGCAAACGAACAGCACCGAGTTGTTGGGCGTCACTCGGCTCACCCGGCACGCCATGCTGAAAAGTGGAAATAAGGGAAATAAAACATTACAAGTTAGTGAAGACACTAAGTTAGCTTAGGAAAGGTCAGGAAGCCCCGTACCTGATTGCTGAAGCCCTCATCGGCTTTTGAGAAGCGCTCAGGGATGGGCGAAGGCCTTAAAAAAGGTAATGAACGCAGCCACCAGTCTGCCAATCAGAAATCAAGAAATTGCAAGTGAATTCAACAAGGAAATATCTCAAAAAAAGGTTTGAAAACTTGTTTTACGTATTATTTTGGCTGAAGAAATCAAAAGGGGCGCGGGCGGGTCGGCTACAGACTACAACCGCCCCTCGTGCTGCGCAACTGTACTTTGGACGGCCTTTTTTAATACCGTTCGGTGTATTAAAGCGTATTGGTATTGTAATAAATTGATAAAATCAACGGTTGTATTGATTGGCAATGATTCGGTGAAATAAACTTCTTTAAATAGCGAACAGATCGTAAAATACAAGGAAAATCAGTGAATACAAGCCCCTTTTTCGATTTCGAACGGACTGTCCAGACCAAAAAGATTTATTACATCTACGACATCATTATCACACGCCTATTTTTGAGCACACAGTCGTTATCCCAAAATAACACGACCCGAAACGCCATCGAGCTGTCCCCTACCGATCTATTTCCTGTCCTTGGCCAATTTCCGGACCCTCGAAAAGCTCAAAAATCCTTTGTTGGTCGGGGGCGAGCCGAAAATATTTGTTTCCCATCGAAAACTTGCCAAATTGTTGCCGGCAGGGACAATCTCAGGCCAAACCGGAGCCCCCGACTAATTTTTGAACGGTGTCGTGAGCCGGATTCCAATCCCCCGAATTTCTCATTTTGTGCCCAAATATGGGCAATAGTCTTTGCAACGACTCTACCGTAGTTGCACAGTGGGAAGCGGCCACCGGGGATGACATTAGGGTATGGGGTTTATTAATTTTTGACGTAGGCTCGTTACAGCGTACGTTCCGCCGTCAGCAATCCGTTCTGCACCTGTGGCTGGGCGGTGGTCAGGGCGTTGTCGTCGTGTTTTTCATCATCCTCAACCTATTTATGATCAAAGTAACTCAATTTTCACAAATTTGGTCAAAAAATGCAACGAATATCGATTTTTGGAGCAAATTTTTCAACATTTGTCATTTTTTTGAGTTTTAAAAATCGTTTCCCACCTGCAATATAGTTTTATTTTATCGGCAGCGCTATAAAACCATCTAAACCAACGCTTTTACGAGACTTAACAAACCTATGGCTACGCTCCACACCAATTTACAGTACGTCTGTCGCCGTATCGATCGTACACCTTCCACCACCGGGTATAAACTGGTGCTCGTCGTCGCGATTCTCGACATTATTCAACTGCTCGTCCATCTGTACGCGGGGATACTGATGGCGATCGGTCGAGGATATCCTAGACATACTGAAGTAGATTTCAAAATATTCCCCGGTTACGGTATTCATTTTAGATAGCCGGCGCGATCCTGGCTGCCGGTTGGGATCTGCAGATGATCTCGACCCTGCTGGTGACGCTCTACCGTCTCCTCGTCGTCCGATTTCCGCACTCTGCCATTTGTCGGTTATTGTCGCGGAATTCGGCCTTTTATGTGGGTAGTTACGAGACAACTAACTTGTTGTTTTAGACCGTTCTAGTCGTAAAAATTTGTCTATTTTGCACGATTCTTGTGATCTATTTTACCGGACTCAACAAGCAAGTGCTCACGGAATATGGGTAAGTGCAATATCGTTTTATAACACCTGGCGAATGTAAATTCTAACCTGGCGAATGTAAATTCTAACCTGGCGAATGTAAATTCTAAACCTGGCGAATGTAAATTCTAACCTGGCGAATGTAAATTCTAACCTGGCGAATGTAAATTCAACCTGGCGAATGTAAATTCAACCTGGCGAATGTAAATTCAACCTGGCGAATGTAAATTCTAACCTGGCGAATGTAAATTCAACCTGGCGAATGTAAATTCTAACCTGGCGAATGTAAATTCAACCTGGCGAATGTAAATTCTAACCTGGCGAATGTTAATTCAACCTGGCGAATGTAAATTCTAACCTGGCGAATGTATAATTCAACCTGGCGAATGTAAATTCAACCTGGCGATGTAAATTCTAACCTGGCGAATGTAAATTCAACCTGGCGAATGTAAATTCAACCTGGCGAATGTAAATTCTAACCTGGCGAATGTAAATTCAACCTGGCGAATGTAAATTCAACCTGGCGAATGTAAATTCTAAACCTGGCGAATGTAAATTCTAACCTGGCGAATGTAAATTCTAACCTGGCGAATGTAAATTCTAACCTGGCGAATGTTAATTCCAAAAGTAAGGAATGTAGGGAAACTAATTCGTAAGTAAGATTAATTTACTTGTGAGCTTTTAGTTTACTGTGTGGCCTTGGAATTGATATTTCTTTTTAAATAGGATTTTTGCATTTTCTGCAAATTTGCCAGAACAAAAATCCGCGCGTGCGGGCGCGTTGCGGTTATACAAAGTTTTGTTTTTCAATCTTTCTATGAAATTTTCGAGATAAATCGTCATTTATAAAACCAGTGGAAAAAGCCCGCTTCGCGGCCCTTTTCCACTGGACCCCGTTCAGGAACGATGAATTCGAATACCTTCTTTTTTTAGCGCAAGAGCCTGAGTCAAAGAGCCATTCTTTGACCTGGCGCCGTACGCCAGTGACCTTTCCTTTTGCCTGGCGCTAAGCGAGAGCCAGGCCTAACAAGAACCACCTAGGTCGAGGTGGCGTTTCGTTATGGGACCAGCCCATTGCAGAATTTTTGCTGATTCCGAACCCCATTTTTGCCAAATAAAGGGGGGGGGGGGCTTTCCATGCTTAGAGTGTACGAATAACACCGTCCGTGGACAGTTCAGCGCGCATAGGAGCGCCGCGTAGCGATGTCCTATCAGTGCCTTTTGGTTAGGGAATGGAATTGCGTGTGCCCCGAATTACTCCATTCTAGCTGGGCGGCTGCTGACGACTACCCCCTGAGCGGTATATTTCTGTGGTTTGATGATTTTGGCACTCCATTACTGTCTTCAATCTCACTCTTCTTGTACATTATCATCTTCCGCCATGTCGTCGTCAATGTGAGGAATTTTTAAAGGGATTTGGAGCGAAAAATTTGGGTTTCTAGCCATGATGCTTACCCATATTTCAGAAAAAACTCGACCGCATGAATGACGTTCGATGGGCGCTACAGGTAAGCGCTTTTGGGGGGGGTTTTACATTTCCGTCGCAGGAAAACCCGATTTAAAAAAATATAAATGGTGCAGAGCTTTAAAAAAGTTGTAAAAAAGAGTAAAGTAGTAGTAGTAAAAAGTTAAAAAATTTCTCTAAGCCTAAAAAGGAGTGGAAAAGCGGAAAAAGTTTCTTTGATTTTGCTTAAAGATACTAGAATATCGATTTTAGAACGATATTTAAGTTTTGTGAACTTGTTTATATGTTTTATAAACGTTTTTCGAGACGCAAAACAAAAATTTTGGCAAAATACTGATTATTAAGTAGTAATAGAACTTATACAATTCAGATTTCCTAACCCTCTAATGGAAATACTAAAGTGCCGCCCTTTGCTATGATCTATGAATCCTTTCCCTAGACCTTCTGCTTTTGCCTGTTCTCCATCGGCGTCTCAATCGAGTGGACATGGGCCTACGACTGTTTCCCACCGACATTCATCTCTTTGTACGTCCAGAATGCGCTGTGGCCACTATGGAATGGGGCGAATGTCGTCTGCTTCTTCGCGTTTCAGAGGTGTATTTTGGTGTTCTATGGAGAGTAACCGGTTTTAGAGACCCGTGGGATCGGAAGAAGAGCTTTTCGATGGTGGTGAAAGCGGCCGCGAATTTGCAGAGACCGTCACTTGTTAGCCCCGTTATCTTGTTAACGTCAAAATTGGCCAGCCGGGCATCGATTTGAGATTTTTGGCTTTTATAATAAAAATTCTTATCTGGCTACTTTTTAATGTTTATATAGTGAAAAAAACCCCCCCGGGGGGGGGGGAGTGTGAGTTTTTTCCCTTTTGGGTTCTAAAGGGAAAAGGGGAAAGGAAAAAAAAAAAGGGAGGGTTTTTTTTTTTTATTTTTTAAAAAAAAAAAAAAAAAAAAAAAAAAGAAGAAAGGGAAGGGATGAAAAAAAAAAAATTTAAAAAAAAAATTTTTTTTTAAAAAAAAAAAAAAAAAGGAAAAAAAAAAAAAAAAAAAAAAAAAGTTTTTTCTCTCCCGTCCGGGGGGTGGAAAAAAAAAAAAAAATATTTTTTATCCCCAGAGGGGGGAGGGTTTCTCCGGGAAGAGAAAAAAACTCCCCCCCTTTTTTTTTTCCCCCCCCCCCCCCCCCCTCTTTCTGACTATCTTTCGCGTTTCTCTCTTTTCCTCTCTCTGGCTCCTCGCTCGCTTTCTCTCTCTCCTCTCTCTCTCTTCCTTTTCTCGCTCTCTCTCGATCATCTCTCTCGCTTTTTTTCTTTCTCTCCCTCTCTCTCCATCTCTCTCTCTCTCTCTCTCTCTCTCTCTCTCTCCCCTCGCTCTCGCTCAATTTTTTGACAGTATTTTAAAAAGCACATCCACTTTATTGAGCACTAGCAATGGACAATGGCAGGAAAAACGATCAAAATTTTTAAGCTGATTTTATGCAAATTTTCTTCTACAAAATCTATGCCAAGGGATTAACAGCAAATATTGCCAGGCCGACACGTCGTCCCGCCACCGCATTTACCGTTCCGACACGCTCCAAATGGCATGACATGTCCCGGGCAGTGGGCACAGCAGAATCCCGTCTCAAGGTGGCACGTGTAGCCGCCGGGGCAAGATCCCTAAAAAAAATTATGATGTAAATTATATATCAAGTTTTTTGATCTCCCAAATGGATATATCAAGTTGTTGGATATCACTTAGATGTAATTATACTGTAAAAATATATCCTGTATAATTATACTGTAAAACTTTAGAAAGAAGCGTGGCATACGCTGAATTCGCTGCAAAATTCGTCGATAAACCACACTCTATTTTCCCGCCTCGTTAAGTACGAAACACGGCCACTTACATTCGGCCCACATTTGCCGGGGGAAATTCCGACCGGGCATTCACAGCAATAATTAGAAGACGTGCACGACTCCCCGGCTGGGCAAGTGCCAGCCGTGCAAGAGCCTAGGGCAGCTTCTCCCCCGCAAGCGTCTGAAAACGGTTGTTATGGAAGTTTTGATGGGGCTAAATTACAGGGTTTTCTAGAAAACAGCAGATATACATACGTTTATATTCATTTCCGGTTGATGTGCAGCACAATCCGTTGATGCACGTCTGGCCCGGAGCACATTGTCCTGGCTCGTTGCATCGCACTTCCGAGAGTTGACCGTGGTAACAAACGCCTGAATCCGGAGGGATATGAGACAGAGAGGGAAAGAGAGAGAGGTGAGAGAGAGAGAAAGAGAGAGAGCGAGAAACAGAGAGACGGATTTATCGAAAACACCAACCGAATCTGTGCCCGGGTACTGGTGGGAGCGGCGGCGGCAACGGTGGTTCCGGCACGGTGCAGCAACAACTCTTAAAGCCCCAGAATTTAATCACCATCCCTTAAACCGACCTGTATACACTGAGAGATTCCGGTGTGATACGGCGTACAATCAACTGACGAGCGACACCCGACCCCGATCAGTCGACCGCCATTCTGGCATTTTGGAGCTGTCGGGGTGCAGGCTAAAACGTTGGGTTCAAGCAAGGCTGGGCCACAACCAATATGTCAGGAAACCGGGCAGAAATCGGAAATCAGTAATCGTGGCAGCCAACTTCAAACCATAAAAAGCATCTTAAATTATAGAAGTAAGGCTGATAATAGAAAGTTATAGTCGGAAATTGTATAATTTAATTATCACTTTAACATTTATAATTCATATAATTTTATAATGTTAGTTAGTGCACGCATTTCCTATAAAAAACTCACGCTTAACAGAGTAGTACTGGGTTGGCGGTGAGCCGCAAAGATAGTAAAACGTCTGCCGCTTCACCCGCACCAACGCCGAGTCGTTCATGAAATGCGGCACATTGTCGGCCCCACACGAAATTTGCATAAAGGCGCTAAAATGAATAATTATACTTCCGAGGTAATTTAGCATTACTAAATTAATGGTTTGATTAAAAGTCTCAAATTTGCCTAGAATTTCCAGACCTGAACAGTATACAGCCGAGCAACAGGAACATGGTCTACGAATTCGTATTAGGACAATGGATAGCTCGAGGGCCAGGCTGTATTTATAGATAAATCGGAACCCCCGGGGCGAGAGAGAGAGAGAGAGAGAGAGGCGAGAGAGAGAGAGATTCCGGACCATATTTGGGCAGCCGCACCCTTGTATATTCTCTTTTTGGTGCCCCCTTCATCCCCTTTATTCCCTGATTCATCACCCGAACCCCGGGCCCCCCAACACAAATGATGCCATTTTTGTTGCCATCTATTTGTTTGAGCTTTGCCTGTTGATACTCTATCTTTTTATTGTTTGCGTTGGCGCCGGATTCCGAGTAGATGCTTTGTGAAGAAGAGAGAAGCCGAATTAGCCCATGAATTCGTCATTTTTAATGGTATTTTTAGCATCTTGAAAAATTTTGAAAAGGTTGAACTCGTCAGAACTTTCAAACATCGTAGTATGTTACGCAATGAATAGTTGCCAGAGGGCGGATTTCGCTTTAAAAGGGGCAGCAAGTGAAAATCCGTCTCTGAAAGGTTCGGCTTTCTGCTGAATTTCGACCGTCCGTTAACTCGACGCTTGCTTACCGGTGGCGTCAGACCGGTTTTAAAAATACGATATTGAGTAAATATGGAAATTTTAGGAAAACAAAAATAATAATGACAAAGAACTCGAATTTCGGGGTTTTGGATGTCGGCATTTTGAAGTTCGGTATTTTGGTGTTTGGGTTTTTGAATGTCGGTATTTTGGGCGTTCCTGGGTGAGGCCGTCGGGATTACGGATTTCAGGGTTTTGGCTATCGGTTTTTGAGGGTTAAGCCTCATTCGGGGTTTTGGAATTCAGTGTCTTGGATGTCGATATTTTTAGCGTTGGGTTTGTTGCTTATTCGCAGTTAATTTAGAAATTCCGACATCTGAACCAAATTCTATAGACCCTCCGAGATAGCGATAGGTGTTTGCCCTATCCCCTCGGGCTCTTTTTGCCACTGCGGGGGTTGAGCAACAGAGAGAGAGAGCGTGAGACGAAGGAGGAGGAGCAACAGGGGGCCACAATCCATCCATCCATCGAAGCTCTTGGCCCCCCAGTCTTCCCTCCTCCTCTTCCCTTTTCCACCACAGCTCCATTACACCGTCTTCATGCTCGGCTTTATCCCCTTCTCAAGGGGCTCTACCTGCCACGGAAACCCCACAGGGCCTCTCTACTCTTATTTTGGGTGATCCCTGGTGAATCCCGGTAGACGGAGCCGACTCGTTATCGATTGATTCGGTTATACTCTGAATTTTCACATATCGTCTTGGCTCTATCATTTTTTATCTATTTTTTTGCATCTTTCGGGCCCTCAAATTTAAATTTTTAAGAGCTTATGATTGTCATAAATTAAATTAGTTATCTCTAAATTAGCCCTGTTTTCTTGAATTTCCGTTCGCCAATGGTTAGCTAGAAGTTTCAGAACCACAAGCTACGGTAACCCGCTTTTAGTGTTCCATCCACTCACTCTAGGCAACCTAACGCCCCGGCCACGCGAAAAGATGTCGGTGGGCCTGGTGGCGTTGGTGGAGAAATGATCGGATCACCCGGGAGGATGCCGATGAAAAGACCAAATATTGGGACGACTATCCCACCAGGTACGACTAGAAATAGACAGTCAAAACTAGCGCGTGTTTTGTTCAGGAACTACGTGGACCGAGCACGAGCCCAGAATGCGTATTCAGAGTTTTTGGGTGATGTGAGTTTCCTTCATTTTCTCTCCTCACCCGCCTCACTCTCTGCCTCTCTCTCCCTCTCTCTTCCCTCTCCCCTCCCTCTCTCACCTTCTCCCAATCGCTCTCAATCTCTCTCACTTCTGTCTCTGTCTCTCCCGCCTCTCACGCCTCACCCTCTCACCCTCCTCACGTTCCCACTCTCACCTCTCTCACTCTCTGCCTTTTGTCTCTCTCCACTCTCTCCCGCCTCCTTCGCTATATATCAGCTACCATATCTTTCAAACCTGCAATCCTCCCTTCCAGGTCTTCCAAAAGCCAAAAGCCCTCGGCCGCTCAGCCTCCTTGGTCAATCTGACCTATGTGCGCGAGACCCCCTCCGAATTCCCATGCTTGAAGCGGACATCCACGTACTCCTCTCTCGCCCCATCACTCTCCCTTCCACAGGTATACCTTTACGCTACTTAACGGATTAAAATTTCCCCAAAAAATCATCCCTAAAAATACATCATTATCCTAAACTATGCCCCAATTACAGTACGACCGTGAAGCACAGCGGATAGTGCATACCGAGAAGGTGTACAAACCCCACTACAGCCAATGGTACAACAATGCCTATTCGTCCGCCAGATATGGGGTAAGTGGGGGTAAATGGTAGAGAAATATGGAATGCTAATTAGGATACGCACCGAGCCGTTGAACGCCCCTACCGTAACGTGACGGCCGACATTCCGCGTGTACAGACCCATGTGCCGTTCTTCACCTTCCAGGCCAAGCGAATCTTCCACGATCAGGTAGGTATTCGACCTGGTTCTCTTACTGCCTTTCTATCACTGAAAATCGCAGTCTCTCTTTATCTCTCTCTTCCGTCCTGCCTCGCGCGTCTCTCTCTCTTTCTATCTTTTTCTCTCTCTTCACTCTCTCGCCTCTCACACTTACTCTCGCTCTCTATCTATCTTTCTCTCTGGCCCGCTCTCTCTGCCCCTATAGCACGCTCAGCTTTCTCTCTCCTCCTCTCTCTCTCTCTCACTCTCTCTGTCTCTCTCCCGCTCTCTTCACCCCTCTCTCTCTCTCCCTCTCTCTCTCGCTTTCCTCCCACAGTCTCTCGCTACACGCACCTCTCCTCCTAACCCATCTCTCGTCTCACTCTGTCTCTCTCACACATTATCTCTCTCCTAGAATTGCACAACCTCTTCCTTTTAGCGAGAAGCCTGAACAGATCGTAACTCCATGGTCTCGCAGGCGTACTCCTCGACCGCTGGCTGTATCCTCCCGACTCACGCGCCGACGATTTTGCCAACCGATTTGCTTACAGGTATGGAAGCAACCGGGCGTACAGGATTTTCGAGCTTTTTGGGCTTGTCGAAATTCCGCCCTGGACCTAATTTCACCCAATATCCCATTTTTCAGCGCCTACGAGTGGCGAAAACCGTCGTCGGACGCCTTCAACCGACACCCAATGTATGACCATGTAAGTGACGTAATTTGTTGTGACTTGGAACCGCGACAAGGGTTAGCTTGATACGTTGACGGCCTCATAATCCATTACGCAACGGAACTGGGGAAGTGAACGTCGCGGTGTCCCTTCCCTTTAAAACATTTCCAATCCCCATTTCCAGAACGTGCACGTGACGTTCGCCCCGGGCATCCCGAACTTCTACGAGAAGCAGGCGATGCGCCGCATGTACAAGGCTTCACCGGAAGACTGTGACTTCTAAGCCTATCGTTCGATATTTCTCCCCCAGTATCCCATTGGTCGGCCATTAATGCGCGAACTCGGTGCTTAACGACCTACAAAGGTGGCTGAATAAACGGTTACGGCCATGAAATTT